CCCAACACAAACAACACCACCTGGTTGACGGTTGAGCACGGGCGTGATCACGAGCGATTGGACCGAGCGGCACAGACATCTGCTGTCGCCTGTCCTGTCGCAGGCATCATCCAGACCACGAGGCAGAACACAACACTAGACGACGTACGGCCGCGGTCATTGCACTGCTCCGGCAGCGGGAGCAGCAAAAGGGGCAGGAAGCGGCGGGCCCGCGTCCGCGTGGTGGCCCAGCACCAGCCACCGCCCACGGCCCACCAGCAGTGTCTGTCAGCAATTCAGCGTGGTCTTCATCAGCACTGTTGTTTCTTCGTTCGCGTTCAGGTTACAACCAAAGCTTCGGATCGCACGCAACGCAACGCATCGTCCCTCCACCCGCGTGTCTCACGCCAGCTCGCCATCAAGCTTCAGCTCCCGTTCCCCCGTGCCTTCAGTTCCTGCTTCCAGTCTCCGGAGTGTGAGACCGTGGCGCCACAGCACTTTGCCGACCGACGTTTTGCTTTGGCCCATGCTGGGCTCGTACTATTTTTTTTGAATGGCTCGTATTCTCTCCCTCCCTAAATAATTGTTGTTTTTATTTTCCAGAAAATAACTTTGATTAAATATATATAATTAATAATACTTATGGTACACAATTAATATCTATCGTTAAATCTATTTTTATAATAAATTTATTTGGAAATACAAATATTGCACATATTTTCTATAAATCCGGTTAAATTTACGGTACGGAAACAAAAAAACGAAAGTCATTTAGGGCGTCCGCAATGGTTAGAGCTAGTTACTAGCTCTAAGACAACTTCTTCAATAGTGCTAACTTTAAGCACATAGCTTTTAACATTGATAGCCCCACATAACATTCACACGTCACCTTGAAATGTGCGCAAGAGCTTAGCTCTTGATTAAGAGCTAGATTTTCTCTCTCTTTTATTAAAATATGAGAAAAATACTTAAAACTAGCTTAAAAGCCAATGGTTACGGCTGCCTTTAGGGACGTAGAGAGTAATTTCTAAGAAAAGCCTTGTTTAGATGCGTATGTATTCATCTTAATTTATATATGTCGAAGTGAATTAGAACGAAATTAAATTAAATTTTATTTCATTCCACTTACACGTGCATCCGAACCGGACCGGAAAAAGGCCGGTAGCGGTAGGCCGGTAGCCAGTCCAGTCGCCACACCTCTCTGCATGCGCAATGCTACAGAGGACGTGAGACGTCCATATCATGGCGATGGAACCACAAGCCATGAACCGTGATATAGCGTCGAAAATCAGAATCCACACACGTAGCAGTTCCACATTCGTAGTTCGTGCCATGATCACAGCATGTGATTCGCAGCACCAGCTCGCACTACTACTACTACTCGTCAACTTTGGCAAGCGAACAGGGCATCAATCGCTTTTTCACTGCTCCGGTGCTAGTACGGTAGTACCTCATTGCTCTCGAAAAGAGGGCACACCTCGCTTTTAAGGAGTCAACCAACCTCAAATCTGGTCAAATATATATAAAAAGGTTAAAAAATAATGCCAAATAAATATTATCAAATTAATTATACAATATATTTTTAGAGTAAATATGAATGTAGATAATAAATATCGATACTATTTTCTTTTCTTTAAATCTAGTTAAATTGGAAACTAATTGACTCCTAAGTCCTAAACAATGAAATGCGCACACATTTTTAGGATGGAGAGAGTACTCCACGAAACTTGTGGGGAAAAAATATTAAGCCGAGACAAAAACAGTGCAACCGTCCTACCATCCTAGGATGGAAGGTGGAGGTCGGAAGGAAGATGCTTCATGTAATGTAAGGTTCAAATGGCGCGCGCAAAACAAAAGAAAAGCACCTAGAGGATTGGACTTAGGCAAAGCCATCGCCCCCAATAAAATGGCCACCGAGGAAGAAAGACAGATACAAATGTTGGTATCTCGGTGCAGTACAGTGCAGCGCACACCAGTTGCCACAACACCTTTGGTCGAGAAAAGGAGACACCCCATACGACGATACAGATACCAGGGAGATAAGACGATGATGACAAGATATACTTACGAGGTTATTATATACACCAGTGATTGCAAAGAAGCTTTTGCCTCCCATTGGGCATCGCGTTCTCTAATCCTGTTTTAGCCTAACCTCACAAACCAAAGAAAAGCGGTGTCTGCTGGTATTTTAAGAGAGGCATGAACCGCATGACTGACAGTGAGGACACGTACCCAATCAGTAGTTACTTTATTCACAAGTTCGTACTAGTTGGTGTCATCACCTAGTAAATATAGAGTGGCAAAAAAAAAAAAAAAAAAAAGTAGAGACGAGAGGGCAAATCTTTGAGAGCTTGGTGTCATCACCTTATGCCTTGTTTAGAGTTTTTCAGCTTTTAGCAGCATGGAGCATTAAATATAGGTAAAAAAAATAACTAATTGCACAGTTTAGTTGGAAATCACGAGATGAATCTTTTGAGCTTAGTTGGTCCACGATTGGACAATATTTACCAAATAAGACGAAAGTGCTACTATTCATCTGATTGAAATTTTTTGCAATCTAAACATGGCCTAAATTACAAGAAGCATATATGCAATGGCAAGTTCTGTGTACTGATCAAGGTGCACACTCATTTGTTGGTTAGAAGAAAAAAAAATGGGAGCACAGGAGCGTTGACCAAATAGGATCAAATGCAGTCCTATCCATCGGATAATTTGAGTAAACAACAAAGATGGTCTCAACTGAAATGGCGATACAGAAACATGCAGGGCGGCAACCATTGATGCGTTAGAAAGGCCATCAGACCCTGGGAGCAATGGAAACCAGAAAACAAACCGTGCTGTTTAATGTGAGTAAGTGCACATTCACATCAGAAAGAAAAAATAAAACAAATGGACGACGACAGCAACAAATTACCACGTCACGTTTTTCACAATCAAACACACTGACTCCACGCATCAGGCAGCATGGATGAGAACGGCAACGTCAGCTACCCTCAACAACACGCCAAATAAATGTGGCCAGGGTGGATAGAACCAATGACGTCACTAGCAACCACAGCCACAGGAAAAAAACATGGGCTACTACATAAATAGAGCAACAGAAATCTGTTCTGTTTTATGGTTCTGGAACATTTCAGCATAGGACGATGGTGATGTAGTGGTGCTAGGGTACTACTACCACGGACCACCATTGACAGCCGACCATGTGCCCCTGACGATATCAAAGTACCACATAAGGTTTCGGTTTCATGAGTTTCATGAGAGACTGAGCAAGACCAAACAGGTACTACCAAACAGAAATATGATTTGCATCTCACTTGTAAGGAACATCATCTCATAAATGGATGTGGCAAGGACAAAAAACATGTGTGAACATGAACGAAATCCATGCAAAGAACAAACAAAATGCAGACAGCATGAGATTCTATTCTTTCCATTCAGTGGCACTTGCAGTTGTGATAAGCAAGCTCGGCATAAACTAGTAGAATACGTTGAGCAACTACACTTGCCAACACAATCATGATACCCACATAGAAAAAGTCATCTTTTGTGCACTCTCAGCAACTTTACTGAACATGCTGCCGTCCAGCTTAAAGTTGGCTTGATCTCGATGTTGTCTTCAGCAAGTTGTTTAAAGCGAAAAGATCCACAGCAAGTACTGTTCAGATGACATGGATGTTCTTAAAAAATGGCATGTCCCTGATGCTACACATCTAAGCATAGAAATAGAAGGTAGTCATTCACCGAGACAAAAGATCAGGAAATAATATCCCAAAGTTTCGATATGCCAGGTCCCGCTTTTGCAAATTGCATGGTAATATTGTTTTCACTTTATCCAAACAAATCGAACTCAAGAATGCACACTTTCCAGGAAATATTCATAGGCAACAAAGCACTAGTTTGAAGGGCGGGCCTCGTGCAAGCGGTAGAGTCTTACCGCCTGTGACCGGAAGGTCCCAGGTTCGAGTCGCGGTCTCCTCACATTGCACAGGCGAGGGTAAGGCTGGTCACTGACACCCTTCCCCAAACCCTGCACAAAGCGGGAGCTCTCTGCACTGGGTACGCCTAACAAAGCACTAGTTTCTATGATTGATGGACCAAGTCTAATCCTTATATTCTTGTTTCTGAATCAGGCGTCATGCGGCCTTCTATTGTATTCTGTTCTGCACATGCATATATATAGCTGTGGCACCATCTATGGCTACCAATAGAACCCCTTGATCCTTTCCCTAGTAAAATGTAGTAACAGACAAATTCTCCTAGGTACAAATATACTGAAACAATAACAGATGATTCAAGCAAACAACTAGGACGTGCATGTTTCATCACACAAAAAAAGAAGAAATCTTGTCAGAAACAGATCACAGGCATATGAGAGAAGGAAAAAAGAGGTTTGTGTGATCATGGGCTAGAAATGTATATGTATCATATTTGTGTTGCATAGGCAGCCTGTGGAGAAGGATCAAATTTCCGGCGAATACCCTGATTGTTTTAAAACATGGATCATTACTCCAATAAAAAGAACACCTCTCTAACTGCAAAAATACCTGAATATCTACACACTTTGCAATAACAAATAAAGCACTCACTCAAGGGCGATTGATCCAATCCATCAAGTTTTTCAGCTATTAAACACCTGCAGGGTGAGCATACCGACATATAGGATCACAGTCAACCAAACCATAATTCCTTAAAAACATACCCAGATGTGCAATACTGAATGCAAAAGATGAAAAAATTACCTGGAAGTCGGAGAGAAGGCTGTGGCGATCATCCACCCCATGAGATTGTGGGAAGAACTGAGGATGATCTCGAGCCGGCAAGTCCTCAGAGCAAGAGAGGCCTCCGTTGAGTTTGGATACCACACGAGAAAAAATGAACATAAAAATCCATCACAACTCGACGAACAACAATCCAAGAGTAGCAGAAGCATCCCGTGGCTGCACGCACACACTTTTCTCTCCTCCCCCTCCACTTGAGGGAAGACCCAGAAAACGCAAGGTTGAAGTTGAACGACTACACTACTGCCCCGACTCGTCATCGGACTCGCCGTCCTCGCGGTCGTCCTCCCCGTCCTCCTGCTGCTGATGATGGTGATGCTGGTGGCCGTGCGGGGGCTGCATCTGGCCGCTGCCGCCGGCAGCACCGACCTGGTGGTAGAACTGGCTGATCGACTGCGCGGCGAGCACGCCGATGTGGCCGTCCTGCGAGAGGCCGAGCTCGAGCCCCGGCATAGCCGCGGCGTGTCCAGCGAACATGGGCGCAAAGCCGATGTGGCCGCCAGCGCCGAGGGTGGCCCCAGCGGCGCCCCCTCCCGGCAGCTCGAGGCCGGCGGGGATCCCCATCCGCTGCATGATGCCGCCGATGCCGGCGGCGTCTCCCGTGCCCGCGGCGGCGGAATTGAGGAAGGAGGGCGAGGAGAAACCCGCGGACGCGGTGGAGGGCGCCCACATGTGGTGCGGGTGGTGGTGGTGGTGCGGCCTGGCGAGCCCGGAGGTGGGCGACGGGAACGAGGATGCGACGGATGCGAGCGCGGACGCCGGTATGGTGCCCGTGCCGGTGGCGGCGACGATGGCCGGCTCGGCCTGCTGCAGCAGCCACTGCACGGTCTCGCCGTCGGACTTGTGGCCGAGCTCCCGCGTGAGCTGGAAGATCCGCGCGGCGCACAGCGCGGGCATCCGGATCCGGCGGCCCCTGCCGTCGACCTTGGTGTGGCGGTCCTTGTTGGAGCTCCGCTTGGGCGCGAGCGCCTGCTGCCTCCGCTCCCCGGGCTGCGCCACCACCTGCAGCTGCTGCTGTTGCTCCTTCCCTCCGCCGCCCCCGTCCTGCTGCGGCGGCTGGTGAATTTGGATTTGCAGGTGGTGCTGCGCCGGCTGCTGCTGCTGGTAGTCCTTAGGATCCAACTGCTGCTGCTGCTGCTGCTGCGCGGTCGAGGTGGTGGTGGTGGTCGTCGCGGTGGTGGGCTCCGTTTTGTTTAGCGGTGGGGGTGTGGGGAACTTGGGGTCCATCTCCACACACACAGACACAGAGGCACGCCTACAAACTGCACCAACTCCCTCCTCTCGGCAACCAAAAGCAAATCAAATCAGGCTTCCGTGCTCTCGCCTCCTTCTTCCGCTTCCCCTCCCTGCCCTGAGGAGGGAGAAGACCAAGGGCGGCAAAGGGGATGGGGAGAGATGGTGACCGGCGCTGCTTTGGTGGGGGTGGGAGAGGCGAGGGGACGGAGGAAGGAGAGAGAGAAAGAGAATAGAAGGAGAGAGAAGGGGGGAATAAGAAAATCTAGGAAAAGATACCACACCCACTTTCTAGATTTACTACTCTGCTATTTGGACTTTCCTTTTCATCTGCTCCTCCTTTTACAATTTCACCCCCTCTCACATCATTTTTGGGGTTTCGCTTTTACCAACTGTTGAAGTGATGCTGTGGTGGTTAGCATGATGCTTTTGTTAGTTCTTTACTAATTACTGCCCCTCTTTTGGAGTTCACCTGAGGCTGGTAGAAGTCACTGCAAAAGGGTAGAGAAAAGAAAGTGAAAGTTGCCAGGGCACCAGCAGCAAGATGGCCGAGGAATTCGTTTTGTTACGTCCACTTGGAACGGCCGCCACGACGATGCTAATCAGGCTGTCACGGCTGTGTTGGTATCCTATCATTATCAGCAGATGCAGCGGAACAGTACTCTATGATCTATTGTTAGTTTACTGTTTACAATTAATTAATTCCATATCACGTAAGAGTAGTGGTGGTCTGTTTGTGCACTCCTCTATATATGGCTGTACCTGATGAAAGTAGAAGCTTCACGATGCCATTGCCATTTTTTCCATGATGCGTGTATGTGGTAAACTAATCACTGATGAGGAAAATTCTATTATCAACATGTATCTCAAGAGCATTGTAAAAATACTCCCGACACCTTTTTAACATGGCAATCGTCTGCTAAACCAAGGTTTATGTTTCTGTTAGATTTTTTTGAGAACTCCCTCCATAATTGGTATTATACGTTGACATTGATGTTCTGTTATGGCTATGATTTTGCGTCATATAAATAAATAAATAAACTAGTAAAAATAACTTTCAGTTGAAGCATTGTCCTTAAGAAACAAATCACGCTTGCTGATTTCAAACGGAGGGAGAAATAGAAGAAACTAGTTGTTTTTTCTTTACAAATTATAATCTCTCTCTTTCTCTTCCAAATCGTAGGTCAGTCTGCTTTTATAAAGTCAAACTTCCTTTTTTACTAAGACATTGGGTTGCACATTCACCTTAAATACGTGCATTTATTTTCTGTTGCAGATGCTGAAATTTAATCAAAATTTTAAAAATAACTTTGGGTTGGTCTATATGTTTTGAAACACTTCGGGTTTGTGTCGTTTGGTGGAGTTTCTGTGGTTTATGGCAAAAAAAAAACTGAAACCACAACCGGCTGAATGGGCGCTGTAAACCCAGTGTACTCTTGGCATGCTTGAATTAGGTGCAGGTGGGCAGCAAGGAGCCGATGATGCCTGGGAAGGAATCATGGTTAGGAGGCTGCCGGCTTCTCAGGTGGCCTTGTTTAGTTGGCGAAATATTTTAAAAATAATAATATAATAAGGAATCAAAAGATTAGTTAGAATTTCGTCTAACTGTGTAATTAGCTGCGTGCGGCTTCTCTTAAAAATTTTATAAAATTTTGGTGAAGACCAAGAGGCTGTGAGTACTTTTCATGCCATGTTTGACTCTGTGACTGGGCGTGTCTGCCGTCCGGTGCGGAATCAGCGGACTGTCTGTCGATGGCTTGCCGCTTGCTTGAAACACGAGGAGATCGTACAATACTGTATACTTTCATTGGAAAGATGCAATTCTAAATAACGATTTAAAGTGTAATCAAAATTAGGTATATAAAAATATACTAATACATACTTATCATACTAAATAAGTATTATAAGATTACTATAAAATATATTTTTACAGTATACTTATTTGAAGTCATAAATGTTGATAATATTTTTATAATCTTAGTTAAATTTAAAATACTTTAATTTGAACCAGAATTAAAATTACCTTGATGAGACACACAAGCCATCTAAAGTTTTCTTCACAAAAAAAAGGCATCTAAAGTTTGACTGAGATTATATGAATATTTCCTCCATCCCAAAATAACTACATATTTTGTTTTCCTAACATGTCAATCTTATTTTAAATTTAATCAAATAAATATAAAAACTACTAGTATTTACCATACACAATAAGTACCATTTGATTCATATTGGAATATACTTTCATAATAAATAGTATATTAGGAGGTGTAGGTAATATTTTCTATAAATCTAGTCAAACTTAACGAAGATTGTTCCTTGAAAAACAAGATGTGTAGATAGGACATCCTTAACAATAGAGTCGACTTGCTAGCTCATATGAACTCTAAAAAATAAAAATAGAGTAACCTAACATGCTAGTACACAAAAACGTGTGAGCACATACACATGAATTATAGAAAAGTGTGTGAGATTAGTTGTTTATGAAGAGCTAACTTATCATTCTATCTCCTTCTCACTAAAAAAAATATATTATGAATTTGCCCTTATCTTGAGGACGGAGAGAGTATCAATATTATGACGTCAAATAGATATACACCAAAAGATATTCCACGGTGAATCCAAGTATATTTGTTTTGATATCACAAATATTGATAAAGCAGTCGTATAAATTTAGTGAGGATAAAGATGGTTTAATTTGGTATTGTGCTAGGATTGCATTTTTTCTGTGGACAAAGGGAATACCAGGTTATAATTGTATTAAAAATTTTAATGCTAACTTTGATGCTCGCAAGTGCTATCTATCCTTTTTTTAGTTGCTAAGGCACCTATACGTTGATGATCCTTTTAGATCTAAACATATTAATATTTAGTTGCTATAGTTATTACTTTATTAGTAACATGTATCCAAACATAGGTCCGTGATCGCTCATGATCTTCGTGGTAAATGAAAATCGACTTTTTTTTCTATTTCCTCTAGAGTCACTACGCCCGTGGCCAATATACCACTAGGTAAAGATCTGGTGGCTTTAGTTCTAGCTTTTCAGTGTATTTGTCGAAGTCGGTGAAGCTTGTGTTTTGGCGAGCGCTTCCACGTAGCTTGCGCTACAGTCGTGAAGTAAAAAATAGACGGAGCTTTAACCAAGGACCTTAAAATAATAAAACCGAGGATGACTATTGCCGTATCCTGTTTGTTGGTGACCACAACTTGCTATACCATAAGTTAAGCATGCCATAGTTTTTAGACAGCCTTTTGCTGCCACACTTTCTTAACATCATGGACATGTTTGGTTCGTGACCAAAACATGTCATGCTACAAGTTAGTCATGCCACAGTTTTTTCTGGCAGCTGTTTGGTTTGCTGCCACAACTACGCGTGCCACACTTTTTTAGCACCCTGTCCCACACGTTATATACCAATTTTTTTGCTAAATTTTGTCACAAGTGTAGCTTCAATTTTGCTCGCCAAACTTTATCTGGCAGCCATAATTTGCTGAAAGTTAGACGTGGTAAGTTTTAGTCACCAACTAAACAGACTCTTATATTCTTACTAAACTTTGCCACGAGTGTGGTTTTGATTTTGCTGGTTATACTTTATGTGATAGCCACAGTTTATCTAACATTGTGACAAACTTCAACACCAACCAAAGTCCTGTATTCCCCTTTTTTCCTTTATTAGGGCGCATTTAGATGCAATTTTTTGGGGTTTTGGCCTTCAGAAGACTTTCGTTTTTTAGTGTTTAATTATGGATTAATTAGGTTCCCCAACTGTGCAATTATTTTTTTTATTTTATCGGCTCCGGAACTAAACAGGCCCTTGCTATCGGCTCCGGGTCGTGTGGATTTTGATGGAGAGGGTGAATTCCGCGTGTAACGGTTGATGATTGATTGATTCCAGTTCCCGGTGAGCTGGTTGCAGACCGGGCGAAGGTTGGTCAGGATCAGTGATGTTTTTGGCATCTGCCGTCGATGTCTGGTCCGGTCTTGTTGCTCGTGGGAGGCAGCCAATGTCCCGTGTCGTCCGGGGTTACTGGTTATACATAGCCCGTACTGGCAGTACTGCTTGTTCCAGCAGCTCGTGCTCGACTGGACAGCTAGCTAGTGCTCCATCCAAGATTCCTGATTGTCTGCTGCTGACTGCTGACTGCAGCGTACTCCTAGGCGGATCGGATCATTCGCCGGAGATATTTTCTGCCCGCTGGTCGTGGATGATTGGTGGTGTGCGGTGCGGACGTCCGCGTCTGCTGTTTGACGTCTGATTTGATGGGATGGAATGGAGAGAGCAGTGGATAACAGGATAAGTATGGCGCGAGTGGGCCAGCACTCAGCCCTCAGGTCATCAGCCAGCTGAACGGGAAACCAACAGCGGCCAGGTTCGCTTCGGGGAAAAAAAAAACGAAACACTGTTCCGACCGGGCCCATTCGGCTCGTTGAATCTTGACTGAAATCGACTGAAAAACACTGTTCTGGCTGAATTGTTGTGAGAGAAAAATACTGTTCCAGCTGAAAAAACAAGCCGAATATAGGGTAAGCTGAACGGGTGCCGTGAGAAAAAACATTGTTCCCGCTGAAAAAAAAAACTGAAAAATACTGATTATAAGAGAAGCGAACAGGGACCGCTGAAGGCCTCGCCCTGCAGGACGAGGAATCCAGTCAGTCGTAACCCTGATGCTAAGTTCTGGTTTAGTTCTCAATCCAAAATTTTACATCATGTCACCTCGAATGTTTGACATATATATGGAGTATTAAATATAGACTAAAAAATAATTAATTGCACAGTTTACGACTAATTTGCGAGACGAATCTTTTAAGACTAATTAGTCCATAATTTGACAATAAAGTAATAGTGACACATGTGCTAATAATGGATTAATTAAGTTTAATAAATTCGTCTCGTGATTTACTGGCGGATTCTGTAATTTGTTTTTTATTAGTATCCGAACACCCTTATACGATACCTCATGTAACATCCGATGTGACATCACATAACTTTACAAGTAGATCTAAACAAGGCCTAACCTTTACTAACTCAGGCTGGCTGGCTGGCCTGTCTATTCCTCACCCGATAGACGCGAATTTGCCATCGCACCGACCTGCATCTGAGCTCTAGTAGTGGAATTCGGAACAGAGACAGCGGGAAAACGCCGTGCACCCGTGAGGGATCGTGATTGCCTGATTGGGTAGCCAGTGGACAAGTGTACGTGCAGCGGCAGCAGCACATCCAGTAGCGGGCACGCGCATGGACGACTGGGAACAGGAGTAAACGCAACTGCAATTGCAAGGGCGTGGTTGCCTTGCCACCCCGGGCACGGCAGGGACAAACAGCACTCACTACGGAGTACTCCGTACGGGCAACTGCTGCTTCCTCTAGCTGCTCCATCATCGATCAACTGCTGCTGATCATCACATGCGTGCATATCAAGATAGATAGATATTCCCGCCAAACTGAACTTGCATTGTCGGAGATTTCTGTGCAACCCGTGACTAGCTAGTCATCTAGCAAGAACTATTCTATATGATGATGCCTACGCTAGAAAGCGACCCTCTGTCTATGTATCTATCTCATTCTCATTCAAGTGTCTTTATTGTTTCCATGCAGATCAATTTTTTTTAAGTTTAACTAGGTTAGAAGAAAATATTAACAGCATTTTTATCTATAAATAAGTTTATTATAAAAATATATTCAAGATTATCTAATGACACTAATTATATAATACAAATATTAATTTTTTATTATATATATGATCAAAGTTTAAAACGTTTGGCTCATCAAGAAGTGATACTGACATTTATTTTATGACGGATGGAGTATCTATCTATCGACCACCTGACCACCAACAAGCCCTTTGACCCATGCAACAATCCGACGATAGATTGATTATATATTCTCCCATCACATCCGATTGGCTAGAGGAGATATAATCAGCAGTGACCAGCTAAGGTCAATCACAGTGTAGGTGTCATGGACTTTCATGACTTAGCGGCCGTTCGCTTGGCTGAATTTAGCTGAAAAATAAGGTAAAACACTGTTCTGGCTGAAAAACAAGCCAAATTGTTGTGAGAGAAAAACATTGTTCCGGCTGAAAAAAAAAACCGAACAAGCCGGATTTTAAGACAAACGAACAGGGCCAACAATGCTGACGTAGCACGCTACTAATAAGGAAAGAAATGATCAAAGTTTAGATGTGAGCAAAATAAGTTTTATGGGATGAAATCAATCCATAATACTTCTAACACATGATTAAGAGCATTGAAAATCGAAACACGAAACTCTTGCTGAGACTGACCTAAATATCAATAATACCCTGCAGTATATGCATATTATTTTTGTTGATAAATTAATTAATAGAAAGGGACGACGACGATCAATACGGGACGTAACCGTACCTAAAGCTCATCCCAGCTCAGTGTGAGCTGAGCTAGCTGATCGATACGGCGAAAGGGACGCCGTGTGTTGTACTAATTGACGTTTTCGATTCGCTAGCGCTGCTGCGTGCAGAGGTGAATCCAAAGGGGGGGGGGGTTGTCGGGGCTACAGCCCTCCTAGTGAGCCTGATTTCTTCATTAGACTACGGTTACTTAGCCTCAACTCATCATTAATCCCTAACTTTAGCCCTAAATCTTCATTATTTAGCCCTCCATTTGTCTCCATCCTGCATCCGCCACTAGCTGCGTGAGGTATAGCCACCACCGGGTTGTGGTAGGGTTTTGGTTCCACGCGCACACAACACAACACCGTCCCGATCGATCGAGGTCGAGGATAGATATATAGCTCGAGTCCGAAGGATCCCATTAGTCGGTAGCCCTAGCTAGCTAAGCGAGTAGCGAGTAGAATCCGAGGTTAGAATATGCTCAACTGATCCTATTTCACTGTCACCGCCTTTGCTTCTTCGGTTGATGAGTCTCAGGTGACTCTATTAGATTCTTGGGTCGGGGAATTTTCATGGATGGGAGCTGATGGTCAGGGAGGAACTGAAGGAATCAACAAATAAAGTGCTGCACTTAAGCTTGTCTCCCAATTGCGTGATGATCATCATCACAAACACTACTCGACCGCCTTGTGGTCGACACGACCCATCAATTTCCTCACTCATCTTTCCCCTTGCGATTGCGATTGTTATAAGTAACACTTGTACATACATGCTGCATCAGATCGTTGCACGTTTTGCATGCGTTGTGTAGTTACCTAATAATTAATTAACCTAGCGCTAGCTGTGCTCTGATCCTGTTTCCTTCTATCGTCCATCCAGATTTACTAGGTTGCATGGAGAACATGCATGTACAAGCGGTCAACGGTGGTGTCCGCTAGTAGCCTGTGGTCACGCACACCAAGCCAAGGATATATAGATCGGGATGAGATGCATGCATGATTGGAGCGGCAGACATGCATGCACGCGGCCGGGTGTGTTCCGTCCGTGTCACATATATATACTTGACTTTGCCTAACACCCACTGGCGCCTCAATGCCTCATTATCCTTCCCGGCCATCTGCGCGCGCCAGCGGCGGATCCTTTAATTTCTAGAACACCATCTGTTTCTCACCCAAGCATATTCAACTCTCAATCTCATCCATGTTACGTGCACGGAATATATATTGTACGTCCTTGTCGAGGGTATATAACTTATATGTGCGGATTTAGAGGAAATAAATTAAAGAGCCTGTTTGGCACAGCTCAACTTCACTGGTAAAACTGTTTTTTTTTTGAAAAAAATAGCTTCATGAGTAACTTTTTAGGTGAAGTTGAGCTGTTTTAGAAAAAATATTTGGCAAAACAGCTTTACCAACAACTTCATACATGAATATGTGAGAGAAATGAGAGAGAGAGCTAGGATAAGCTATTTTTTTTTAGCTTTATCCCAACTCATATCTTTATAAGAGGGAGAGAAAAACAACTTCAGAGGTGAAACTGTTTTGGAAATAAGTGTTTGGCAAATAAAACAGCTCACAGCTGTGCCAACCAGGCCAAAAGAAACATGTTACCTTCTTGAATTATTGCCACCCTCTACTGTTTTTCTTCTCAAATTTTAAAACCAGACATCTTATTCTTCTTGACTCTCAAAACCATTTAAATTACATCTCTACATAGAATAGAAGTGTTTTTAAAGACGTTTCATTTTTTAAAGTTAAAGAATATTATAAATACCTGATAAAGTTTTAAAACCACGAAAATGGCTCCGAGCTATGTAGAAATTCCCAGAGAAAATCATGGGATCAGCAGACCTTAATAAATTATTAAGAGCTCATGAATAAAATATCTAGAGGTTTCCAAACATAGATTTGGCTTTAAGCAAATGGGAAACTATCCAAAAAGTATGAAAATTTCCCAAAGCATTATAATTAGTGTCTAAACGTGTTTTAAAAACTCTCCATGGTAAAAATATTAGATGCAACCAACAATAATGCAACACACACATTTGATGCTGAATACATCTGTACGTGTTTTGACATCAACTAGAATGTTGGGAATTTCCTAGAATTTTGTAGCTAGTTTCCTGTCTTCTAGAACTAAATCTAATTGGTGTGAACTGAACAAGGCCAAGAAAACAAAGCAAAGCATCGAGTGATCAATAGACTAGTTTTTTCTTGGACTTGCAACCCACCGCCACCGCTGCCCCACCTTACACCACCGCTGGCCCCCCTCCCTTCCCCCTCTGGCATCATGCCGGAGGCCGAAGGGAGTGGGGATCCATCATTTTTAATAAGTTTCTAGTATATCGAATCCTTAAGGTTATGGTCTCTCTATGCCAAGTTTTTTGGTGTTGGGGATTTATCTCCTCCTCCTCTCCGGCGACGGTGAGGGGGCAGAGTGAAATCGTTTTCTCCATGGCGGCTCTGTTGAAGATGAGGGCGACAACTACAGCGTCAACAACTTCACCGGCATGACGACATGGAGACCTTTCTTTCCGGGTGGCGACATCAAGACGGAGATGATGTCGACACCATAGAATAATTTTCTCCAATCTCTTCTCTGTTTTGTTGTGGTTAGTTCTGGCCACGATGAAGGACTAGGGAGAATAATTTTCAGATCAGTCTTCCTCAATCTTCTGTGGCAAAAAGAAGAGGAAGGAAGATACAAGAAAGAAGAAGTTTCTCAACTCCGCCTACAGGGATGTTGGCCGCCGTTCGTTGGGCATCTTTTCTCAGGCCTGTTGCCGAGTGTTTGCCTGTGCTATCATCCATACGAAGCGTCAACCAAGTTTTGTGTTGAGATTTGGAGCTATTTACAGCATGGGTACAATTTAGATAAAAATCAGTTTCTGGATATATATAGTGTATTCCAGAGTGCTCGTAACGGGTTGACGTACCCAGCTATTATATAATATAATTCTTTTTTTGTCGCAAAAAAGAACTAAATCTAATTATTTAATTTGGTTTTTCATGTCCTAGTATATTTCTAGAATTTTGTATCAATTTTTTTAGAAGCTTATAGATTTTTTTGTGCTTTAAAAGTCTTATCAAGTATTTACTGATTTTTTAATTTAAAAATAATGAAACTGTCTTAAAACCCACTTATAACAGGCGTAGGGCTACAATTTCAATGGTTTGAAGAGGTGATAGGGTACGATTTTAATATTTGAGAAGAAAAATCAGATCACGGTTGTAATCCAGGAGGTAAAAGGATTTAAATGGTTTTATTTAAGAGTTGGTGGGCGAAAATTACATGAAATCGCTCGAGCAAGCCCAAAGACAGACGGCCCATCTGTGACAGTACGGGTTGCACGGCCCAGGGCCCAACCCAACTCATCTAAACCCTAGCCCCCCCACCGCTCTTCCTTGGTCGGCACAGCCACAACCTCCTCCAATACTCTCTCTCTCTCTCTCTCTCCCCCTCGCCGCCGGCCTCCTCCGCTTCCCGCCACGCGCCACCTCCGCGACAAACCACCAAAGGGGAGAGAGGACTCGCTAGTCTCATCCGATGGAGGAGGATTCGCTCAAGGGGATGATCTCCGCCATATCCTGGGTGCCCAGGGGCGCCGCCAAGTGCATGCCCGTCGTCGCCGACCCGCCCACGCAGGAGGAGATTGCCGAGGCCATGAAGACCTTCGCCCTGGGAAGAGAGTGAGCCACACCTCCCTCCCCTCCCCTCTCTCCTTTCATCTCGTGCTCTACTTCCAGCAATAGTGACGAATTTTGTTTTGTTGCCGTGTGTAACCTGTCTGGCTGTCTGTCTCCAGCATTGCGCGCCCTGCTGTAATTCTAGCAATAGGCTTGATTTCACTTTTGTTGCAATCGTAACTTGTCTCCAGCTCCGGGAGCGACGTTGACGAGGATGATGATGCTGGCAACATGGAATTCGACGGTGCGGCAGAGGCGAAGGAAGAGGTTGACGAGGTTGATGAGGCTGCCAGGGCTAAGGCCGTTGCGAAGGCGCTCGCCAAGGGCTCCAGTAAGGTGGACGACGTTGCTGATGGGCTCCGCGAGCTCAACATGGATGCATATGATGATGAGGACGAAGGTGGGCGTCTTCTCTTCCATTCATCCTCCTGCTAATTAATTCAATCAGACCAGGTGAGCTGAGGCGATTGATAAATTCTTAACCTGTGATTATGTTAGAGGTTGATGTTATCGGCTCCGGTTTGGGGGACTTGTACTATCTGGACAACGGAATGGACCCCTATCTCAAGAACAATGTGAGTTCACTAACTCTGCTGTTTTACTTTTGTTGTTTGTGTACTGATGATAGAAACAAATGGATGCAAGTTGATACCTTTTTTTGTACCTTATTAAGATGATGGCGACGACGACGACGATTCGGACATTGACGATAAGATGATCATGCCTACCGATTTTGTTATTGTCTGCGCACACAGTGAGGATGATATCTTCTCTCTTCAGGCAAGTACAGTTAGCATATTTTCTGATTTTGCTATAAAAAAAACAGCCATGGTAACATTTTTTTTTTCTTGCAAGAGTTGGCATGTTTGGATCCCCTAGAGCTAACAATTAGCTGCTAAAAATTAGTTTAGGTCCCATTTGGATCCCCAGCTAATAGTTTGGCTAGTGTCTACCTACCACCTAGCGTCCTAGCTAACAATTAGCTATTAGTTGATTCTCTCCAGCTAACACTGCTAATAGTTATCTCAGAGGATCCAAACAGGGGCTTAAGTATTTTCCCTGTAGTAATAGAACATGGTATGTTACCACAATGTCTTCTTGGTGCCCACTGATGTATCAGTATCACCACTGACATTATAGCAATACTGGCTGTAGTTAGTAAATTTGTGTTTGGAAATTGATCCCAGCACGTGCTCTTAGTGTCTGTCTATGTAAAAATACAGTCAGGTCACATTACTTTCCATTTCTCGCCCTGTCTGAATGACTTGCCAGACTGTCCTATGCTATTAGTTTCCATACTTGTTAAATTATTGTCGATGACAGGTCAACATTCTTGAAGAAACAGATGACGGTGAACAAAATATCTTTGTGCATCATGATGTTCCTCTTGCTGATTTTCCGCTCTGCACTGCTTGGATGGATTTTAATCTCAAAGGTGGCGAAAAAGGTTAAACTGGCATGTTAAAGTAAGGGGTACCAATTTATTTCTTTGGATTGGAAGAAACTTCTTATCTGATTCCGTGATTCTGTTGCTTTCTCTGCGCTTCAATATCACAGGCAATTTTGTAGCCGTTGGAACCATGGATCCTGCCATCGAAATATGGGACTTAGATATGGTATGGTTAGGGCTATAACCATGAGGTGCCTCATTGCAAAACAGTTGATATATTATTTGAGGGAGCTTTGATATTTCTCAACAGGTTGATGAATTGCAGCCGCACATGGTGCTAGGAGGACTTTCAAAAAAGAAGGCAAAGGGCAAAAAGGTTTGCAACTATCTTTAATCTTGAATGAGATTTGGGTTATCATACTTCTGTAGGTTATTTTTCTGGATGCTATGCTAAACATCTTGCTCTCTTTGTATAATTGCAGTCAATACTTCCAACTTTACCCAAACTCCCAAAGTAACACTGCCAGTCTATCTCATTATTAGTCTGTTGATTCTTGTTGATGACACTTTACTATTAGTTTTTTCTGTTGTGAAATGTGTTTAGCTTACGATGTGGTGCTGGTGCATTGTCTTTCTGGTTAATTGGCAGCTAAACTTTTGGCTAGATTCACGAATATATTTTACTAGGGTCTTCTCCTTAGATGCAAGCGACATCACTGGGGGTTCTTCTTAGGTTCAGTTTGCTTGGGAGCTTTTGCCTATCAGAGTGATTAATGCAGCTAATGGTTCTCATGCGAATGCTTAACAGCATGATGCTGATTGGATGAATGTACTTATCCAGAACAAAGATTGTTAGCACATTTTTTATTTCATGATAATGTGCATTTCAATCTATGCAAGTGAGCATTCATTTATACTTTTTCTTCAATCTTTGTGAGCTATACTTTTCTCTCTTGCAGGGGAAAAAGTATAAGAAAGGAAGTCACAGAAGTTCTGTGCTTGGTCTTGCATGGAACAAGGAAGTGAGGTGAGTTTTCATTTCAACCCTAGTGATGGTGCCTCTCTTTGCTTATTAAGCACCTGATGTTTGATTTATTGTTATGAAATCCAGGAATGTTCTAGCTAGTGCAAGTGCTGACACAACTGTGAAAATCTGGGATGTAGCTGTTGGTAAATGTGCAGTCACACTAGAACACCATGATGACAAGGCAAGGATTGATAACTATCTTTTTTGTCATTTTGGACTGATTCTGATAAATTATGTTGATGTACAATTTTTATTTCCTTTATTTACTGGACTCGCAGGTTCAAGCAGTTGCTTGGAGCCCACAGTCTCCTGAAGTTCTTCTTAGCGGATCCTTTGATAAAACAGTTGCCGTGGTAATGCATCTACCAGTTATCATGTTTATTATTTATTGAATTATTCTTTATTGATATAGACCCAACATTTTAATTTGCAGAATGATATGAAAGATGGTCAACAGAGTTGCCATAAATGGTCTGTTGAAGCAGATGTGGAAAGTTTAGCTTGGAATCCACACAATGAACACTCATTTGTGGTGAGTAAATGAAACTTACAGTTGTTTTCTGCATATCTAAACTCTTTTATCTGTGTAGTCTAAAGAATGTGAGAAGTTGCTGAAAAACAAGAACTAGTTGAAATCTAGATGGATATAGTTAGCGATTCCCTCTTTGTGAAGGCAAACGGCATGAGTATGGTGTGGGAAAGAGTTTATGGTGTTAGTTGGTGGACCATGGGCTCAGCCACCATGATTTAGTGAAAATTTGTTCAGATTCATCTGCAGTGCTTGCAATACAGGGCACTCTTTTTTTCTTTTGGACCCTAGACATGAAGTAGTTGGTTAGACTGCTCTGCAGATTTCTTATTATGTTTATCTGGTAAATTTAATATCTCCTTGATGTTATGAAACAGTGTACTTGTATTTTCTGAACGTTCTGTATGATCTCCCAGGTCAGTCTTGAAAATGGGATGGTTCAAGCCTTCGATAAGCGAACAGCTTCATCAAGTTCTTCTGTCCAGTCTATGTATACCCTTCATGCACATGATAAGGCTGTTTCTTCCATCTCCTTCAACCCATCTGCCCCCAACGTATGTTTTTCTTTTTGGCATATAGTTCTGTGCTAAATAGGGAGAGACACATCAACAAGTCCAGATTACTGATATTAGTTTCTTTTCTTGCAGTTTCTCGCAACAGGCTCGGTTGATAAAATGGTAAGGACATTCCAATATTTTGGTTGCATATAGATATGTTTAAACTTGTTGCTAATACATCTGCAAATGTAGGTGAAACTATGGGATCTATCAAATGACAAACCATCATGCATTGCCTCCCAAAATCCAAAACTTGTATGTTTTCAAATGAACTAGATCTTTACTTTTGGAAGAAATTGCTTTATTTGTATCGCTTATACACTTGATTTTTCCAGGGAGCTATTTTTTCGGTATCATTTTCAAATGACAGCTCCTTCTTGTTAGCATGTGGAGGTTCAAAAGGCAAACTAAAAGTAATCTCCTCGCTCATCTCTACAAGGTGTTGAAGCAATGCTTTTGTTGCACGACTTATCTTTGATGGACATTGTTTTGCATCGTTGGCAGGTTTGGGACACGCTAAGGGAGCCCGCCATAGCTCGCAAGTTCAGCAAATAGAACTGCCGCAATCTGCTGGTCCAAGTTATTTCGGGCATACGCATGTTTGGGTAGATTGTTGAAGAGTTATAGTGGAAGTCTTGCCCTTGTGAGTTTTGAGAGCCCAGTTGTATAATGAATTGATGAAATCAATCCAAGCTTATGTCTTAGTGGTTTGTACAACAAAAAATTACACTGGGCAAAGGTTTTGGAGTGGAGGTATGAAGTTATGACATTTCTAGTTATGGGTTGTGATGCATTTTCAATTTTGTGAAAGAAATTAGCGGTCTTCACAGGATAGCATTTTAACTCGGATCCAATTTGAAGTTCTGGACACAATAGTTTCACATGGAACAGCTCCATTCGTATATATGTGAAAAAGGCCTCATGTCGTGTAAAAACATTGCTCTTGCCGATTCTTGGTCACAAATGTACTGCACCCGTCCCTAAAAGAATGTAATTCTAGCACAGTATCATGCTTTAGTACCTTAAGTTTGACCTAGATAAAAAATATTCATGTTTATGATATCAAATAAATATCATCGAATTAATTATGAAATGTATTTTCATAATAAATTAATTTAAAGACATAACTGTGAATATTATTCATTGAAAACTTGGTCAAATGTAAATCACTTTTCGTGGCACGTAATCCATAATTGCATTTTTTTCTGGATGGAGGTAGTACATGAGATTTGAGTTGACTGGAAGATAAAGAAAGATAAACTGTTACAACTAACTCTGTTCAAGCAAAAAACAACTAGCTCTCATACTAGTATTGTTACTTTAAAAATTCCAAATGTTACTTTTTCCCTGAAAATAAAATACTGGTGCACGTTTACTTTCTACCTTTTAAAATTTCGGCGCAATGCGAATAATTTCCACGGTTGTAAAGAAGTCCACTTGGATTATTCTATGAGCGTACAGTACCCCCTTTTGCCACCATTTTCACCTTTTTCTCTCTCTCTCTCTCTCTCTCTCTCAGTTTTAATCTCCTTTTCGCATCAGCTGCGGTGCTCCCTACTCCTAGCATAGTGCGCCTTTTCCGTGTCATGTCGTGTGCGTGTGTGGTGTGTCTCAGATAAGAATATGTGATCTCATCTCGAAACGGCATGCGTGCATGCATGCAACCATGACACAGATCCGATTCAGCAGCCGCAAAAGCTAGCCGAGCCCGGGCAGCACAACACAGGTGGCTCCGGCTGCTCGTGAGAATCCATCCCCTCGGTTAATTTATCACGTATGTCTTAATTAAACTAAACTAAACTTGATTTGCAGTACGTATCATTTCTAAAATATTCGTGTGGGTGTATAAGTGTTTGTGCGTGTATGATATCGTTCGACAAGTCTGAGTAAGCACGGCGTATGCATCTGTTGCCTTTTTGTTGTTGCACCTTTCCGTGCCTGAACATTCAGCATTGCGTGTGATCGCCCCTATTTTATTTGATCCAACACATGCGCCGTTTTTCAGCATATATGCGAACGTGTACCTGTGCACAGGTGCGTTGGCAGTTGAGAAAAAGCTTTTTTTTTACAAGAAAATGGTCCATATATACGAGAACTCTCGCTCCTATGAACGTACTGCTTTTGAGGACTGTAAACTCAATATAAGCATCTGCGAGAGACAAAGCCAATAGATCTTGATATTAACGAGGTAATCATAGGCACCTCATTATTAACCACGCATTGTTAATTTACCACTAAAAATGTAATGCCGGATGGATAGGTTCCACTATAACATGTTATGCTCAGTTCGCAAGCAAAAGCATTCTAACTAGCACAGGAATGGTGAAATGCTAGAATTTTTGCAAATGTTTCAAGGTCAAATTACTTGAGGAAGGGGCAAGATTCACTGCCTAGCCGACCTCATCGGCAAATGTGCAATATAATTTAATGGTAATTTAGAGATTGAAAATATAATTTTAGGTGAAATATGAATTGCGATGGGTCTTTAAACTTTCTCCATATTTTCATTTGAGTCCATAAATTCCCAAAGTGATCATCTAGATCCTTCAACTTTTCAAATAGTTTGGATGAACCATTTGAAAAGTTGAAGGATCCGTAATTAATCAGAGTTTATATTGACCTAAATGAGAATGCGAAAAAAGTTTAAGGGCCCAGTGCATGTCACTATATTTTTTATAGGAAGCGCTCGACTTAGTTTGTTTTACCTGGGCTCAAAAGCTTTTCTAGCTCCGATCCGCCACTGATTTTAGGATTTAACTTTTACAGTTTCTTTTGGGTTACCAAAACAAGTGTCAATTTTGAATAAGTCACTTTGGGTTACTGAAACAAGTATCAATTTTGAGTAAGTCGCCGCTTCAAATAACTAGTCAGTCCTCACTGTTATCCCGACAACCATCTCAGTCCTTGAATTCTCAAAGTGATCGTCTACGTCTTCAACTTTTCAAATGGTTCATTCAAAGTGTAAATTTAGGTCCATGATTGAACCTAGAGTGAATGAGCCACTTGAAAAGTAACGACCCATGATCAATTTGAGACTTCATGAACCTAGATGAGAATGCGGGGAAAAAAATTTAAGGACCTATGATGCATTTCATTCTATAATTTTTATGCTAAAAAACTTTTCTGACACTGATTTCAGGAATTAATTTTTAGAAATCTCTCTTGGGTTACTGAAACAAGTGTCAATTTTTAATAAGTCGCTGCTTCATTTAAGTATATAACTAGTCATCGTTCCTCAGTCCTCACTGTTATCCCGACAACTTTGTAGCATCAGGTTGAGAGTACTGGATCTCTTTGTTCCCCAGTACACAAGTGCTATCACCATCATGGTTTCATGCCAATTGAGCCATGACATAAAGCAAGATAAGAAACACACCATGCATCACTTTTCTTCCTTTTTACCCTTTTTCAGAGATCACACACATCCATTGCCTCCTCTCCTTTTGCTAATACACTCTAGTTGCCATGGCTCCACCTCAGTTACACTGTAATTCCTACAGTGGAATGGGTTCATCTCATTCTCGTTTTACCTCTGACATTTTAACCTAACAAGTGACAGAATCAAGGATAGCTAGCAGCACAAAGCATTACAGATCCTTTTTAGGGCTCAATCTTAGTGTAATTTGCACCTGCCAGATCATAGTCGTCATCGATCAACATCGAAGAAGCTCTTGAGCTCCAGCTTCCTTTGCTTCTTGACCCTTGCAATGAAGTCCTCCACTCTCTTGTGCAGCTCCTCCTCTTCTCCTTCCTCTTCCTTCACCTCGACCTCGACCTCCACCTCCTCCCTAACGGCTCCAACAAAGGCGCTGTGGTCAACCACCACCGCCGCGGCGGCGGTAGTCGCCTTTGCGGCGGCCATCACCGTGTTCTTCTTCACGTGCTCCTCGTGTATCTCGTTCACCAAGGAAGGCTGTCCGTAGTCCCTCCTCGGCGCCAGCCTAGACTCCCCAACGAGGAAGGCGACGATGAGGTTGCCGACGACGAAGAGGCACTTGGGGCTGAGCAGGAAGGCCGTGACCAAGTCAGGGAGAGTGGTGAGGATGAAGAAGCCAAGGGCCGAGCACAGCCTGGGGAACCAGGCAGGGCTAGTGAGCAGCAGGCAGAGGACAAAGGTGGCAGACATGTAGACTGAGAGAGCAGGAAGCTGCAGCTGCCTCCTGCTCTTGTTGTACTTGTTCATGGCCCTGATCTTCTCCATGCTAATGGGATCCATTTGGACTGAGAGAGTAGGAACGGCACTGCTGGGATCTATACAAGAGTTTGTGTATGTACAGAGAAAGACCTTCAGGGGGCTCAGCTGGAGGCCACAAAACAATGCACGAGATGGGATGGAGGGGGTGAGAGGGTTTTATATGTGGAGGAGGAGATGGTAGGCCATGGAAAGTCTGGAGGAGAAGAAGACGACGACGAGGAAGTGTGAGGGGTCATATGCAAGAGCGGTGAGAGGAACAAGACATGGATCTGCTAATGCTATTGGCGGTAGACAAGAGATGCAATGCAGGAGGAGAAGAAGAAGACGACGAGGAAGTGTGAGGGGTCATATGCAAGAGCGGTGAGAGGAACAAGACATGGATCTGCTAATGCTATTGGTGGTAGACAAGAGATGCAATGCAGACACATGCTGCTTTTTGCAAGGGGGCATCTGGGATTTGATAATGCTGTGTGTGTTGTGTTGTCGGTGGGGGCAGCTGGTTGGCTGCTTTTTACCTCCAAAAAAAAAAATCCATTTGTTGCTTTGGGTCCCTCTGCTCTTATTATGAACCTGATCCTTGACCTGATGCACGGTCTCCATTTTGGAATTTGGGATGGCAGCGGCCAATGGATTCCATTTGGAGACCTCAGCAACCTATAAGGTGTTCGGTTGGTTTTATCAAACCATTCTAGATGAGGTGGTATATCATGAGTCAATTTTCCAAATTTGGTTGAATGACTTCATTTCTCATACTAGTACTAATATAGGCTTGTGAGGAATGAAGCATGATGCATCAATCCATTCCATTTTGCGAACCAAACAAAAAAGTAAAGAGTGAGAAGATGATTGACTAACCTATTTCTCGAACCAAAAACCCTGTTACTGTTTTGGTGGCTGCGTACTTATAAACAAATATAACTCATCTTCAAACCTACAGCTACAAATTGTGTCCAAACCAAAGCAATGCTATCGCCATGTCATGTAGTCGATCCGTTCTTACAGCAAAGCAGGCTTTATATATGTTCTTATTAGCCTAGCAACCTAGTGTAGTCGGTTCTGTTTTTCCTATTTTTTTCTTAAAGAAAACGACAAGCGTATCAATGTCAGTGTGACACCTAAAAATATTTGGGCATATGGTGGATTCACCATGAGAATCAACTGTGGTATACATATCTACTCGCCATTTCTGCTCATGTAATAATATGTATCCTAGTGGTACAGTCAGTGCAAGTGCACTGAAATCAGTTTGGATCCTGTTGAACACATTTCTGTGTCAGAAGCTGTAGCGAACATAAGCAAGTGATCAACAGTACAGTGGGCTGACACATCTGTTTCCTGTTAATTAGAATGGTGTAGCAATCTAAAAACTTGAATCCAGCAAGTTGGTACTAACTCCTTCAGGCAATTTGCAACAAAAGAAATTTTAGTACCAAGTTCAAAGATGCAATGCCTAGATAGTAGATACCACCTTTGAGGCTTTGACAGAGACGTTCAACAAAAAGGTATTACCCTTTAATTGAGTAACAGACTGGGAGATTAACAAGATTAACACAAAACAGTCAACATGCTAGAAGTTTCTACAAGAAATATTTATGCAATGGGTGTATCTGAAGTTCTGAACCATAGACTTTCAGAGTCACAATGTTTCCAATGCTACATTAGCCAGTGAGAAAAAAAAATCCACTGGCTAATGTAGCATTGGAATTTGGAAGTACCTTTCATCCTGAGATCCACACACACACTCTCCCTCTCTCTGAATTTTAAGAATATCTTCTAAGTTATTATCACTGCATCAGCAAATTATATCAACATTCAGCACAAATTCATCTTCTGCTCGCCCACTGTTCAACTGTTGCAACATGGAATAGACAAAGACTTAAGGACTAAGGAACGATGGTGTTAAACTCGGCCCAGTACGTCCAATCCAACAAGACCTAGTGCAGTAGTGGCAAGTATCGCCTCCCAAGGTCCCATTTCCCTCCCTTTTGCAAATCTACTGAGGAGCCTACCAGTTGAGTGCAGTGTAGAACTTGTACATCTTGAATACGTCAAGCACAAAGGTTTCTGTTTGTTTCTGCAATTTGCCTGTCACAAGTCACAACATGGATTGCGAGACATGTAAGGTCTCTGGAATTATGGCTCAGACCAACAGAATATGCTTTAGGATAATAATTGAGCAGAGAAAAGGGATCGCAATTGTTGATAGAAAAAGGGTTTCATCACCAGTTGGTGGTTGCATCGTAGCTTTACTACTATTATGAGGTGTGGACTGTGAAGTCTGCAGGCAAAGGCATAAACTTGTGATAAGCATTGCTGCATGGATCATCCCCACGGATGATGATTCTATTAGTCCACCTTTCTTGGTCATAACACAAATTCTGTGACTGCCCATTCATTTGCACAATCATCATAAGCACAAATTCTATAACTGCCCATTCATTTACACTTTGTTGTGCGCCTGTTGCTCCAACACGGCACCAGCCCACTGGTTAGAGATGCAGGTCAAGTTGTCCCAGAACACGCAAAATATTTGCGGGTTCACGGACAAGCCGCTTTGCATCTCTACCAGACCGCTGCCACATGCTACCAAGAAGATAATGAAGCATCGTAGCATGCCGGCAGAAGCAGACGAACAAAATTAGCAAAACTTACATCGGTTATTAGAGCAACTCCAGAAATTTCCCAAATGAACTCCCAATTTGGATTTTTTTTTGTAAACAAAGAGATCCTTTCAACAGTTTGGTAAAACAACTCCTGAAAAGTATCCCTAAAAAACTACTTAAAAATACAGGAACTCCGTATCCGTCCGGCATTCTCGGGAGATCGACCCAATGCAAAATCGTCTAGAAAGCTAGTAAACTATTGAAGAGCATTTTTTTGTTAAATCAAAGTTGATTATAGAAAACACTTGGAGTTGCTCTTAGACCATGCAAAGATAGCAACGGCGAGCAAATCCATATGCCATGCCATCGGGGATCAGTACATCACCAAATCCTGTTATATCAACCATGAACCATGTAGCAACACTCCAACAGAAGTAGATTTCATTTGACCTTAGATGACACATTGTAACTTAAATACAACTAAAGTTAACCAAACGAGATCCTATATGAATAACCTAACTGTTGAGTAACCAACTAACCATTCCCAGATTAAAAATGGTCTGAGGCCGCACAAGTCACATTTCAGATAGGCACACCTCAGCTATGTGCCTATATGAATTTCAAGCAATCTCTTAAAAAAATTAAGCAGGCATAATCGTGCAAGTGGGCAAGAATTCAATAACCCATTAGATAGCTGAGTTCGCAAACAAGGTATCAAACAGTAGGACACCAAAATGTTTGTCTTGTCTCTATTTCCAGCACCCAACAAAAACTTAGAACAAGCACTTGATGGTAGTAGCATCCACTAATGACAGAATAGAACAAATACTATGTTCGGCCGCTTCACTTCTTGTCTTCCTTCTCCGCCTCAGCTGCCTTCTTCTGGCGGGCACCAAGGTGTTTCTTGTTCATCCGCTCAAGGCGGAGCTTGCCATAGGCCGCAAACGCCTTCATCTCATCTGTAACCTTCACAACCTCAACTGAGCGCTTCTCACCACGAGTAATTGGCATGTAGTCACCCTGGACCTGGGTAGCGGTGGCAAGCTCCTCCGGAGTAGAGTCACCAGCCTGCAACAAAAGTAGGTTATAAGGTATTAGAAATCAAAGCAGCCAGGAGAATGCCTTCAAGAGATACCTAGTTCAGGAAAAGATCACTACCCATACCTTGACCTTGGGAGCACGCCTTGGGAAGATAACCAGCTTGGCCTTGTATGTCTTGAGCCTCTGGACATTGGCCTGCAGTCCCTCAAGGGATTTGTTCTTGCGGCGGTGATCCACAGAAATGCCAATGGTTGGAGCAAGCTTCTTTGGAATGCCCGCAGCCTGCGATCAACATAATAACTTTTAGCATCAAGATATAACACAAAGCATCGATGAGAATAGTGACTCATCAGAAGGTAATTCCACAAGGATAAATGAATAACTTATGCCAACCAAGCCACATCTGAAACAAAATCTAAACACCATAGAATAGCATTTTGAAAACATTCAATGAATTGACGTCATGCAAAAGACAACATATCACCCTGTATAGAACAGCAGTTCACACAAAAATAGCATGTGACATACAAATTGGCAGCAATTATTTTGATATCAGAACAATGAAACAAACTAGTACATTTGAAAAAGGAACATGGTTCAAGAGTAACACAAATGGAAGGACAATAACAAAGCAATGCATCACCTTCAGCTCCTCAAGGGTAAAGCCTCTCCCAGCCCTTGACTTCATGTTGTACTTGAGAGACTGGCATTGAACAATGGGGCGAAGAGGACCAGCAGTTGGGCGTGGGAATATCTTCACAGCCTTCTTTTGACGAGCTGCATACAGAACATAGCAGGGTCAAATTAAAAGTTTAGAAGCATTAGTAATCAAGTGGATTTTTATTTTGGTTCCTTCATCGATAGCATAATAGTACTATAGCAAGGGAAAACAATGCAATGTAAATCAGATACAGGAAGAACAAACCCTATTAGCATGGCCATCTTGATTGGTATTATATTCACTCAATAGCAAACTAGTTAAGTAACATAACACAAACATAATGGGTCTGTTTGGTCGGGCGGCTTGGGAGCTAACCAGGCTAAGCTACTGCAGGCCTCATTACACGGAGGAGGTTGTCATGGTAGGAAAAAGGAACAGCTAACTGGTGTTACAGAGGAATGAAAAAAAACTGAAGTACATACAATCAGGGATTCCTTCTTGTGTGAATAAGGATCCCAAAAAGTATATTATCATCCAACTTATCAACACAATGAGAACAAATGTACAAGACAGCAACAAACTGAACCTTGCACAGGTTCATTATCAACGGCAATGAGGCTACTGCAATGCACTGGGCAAGCAAAGTTGTTTATTAGCTAATCACTAGTTGGAATTCATGCACGCGAAATACTTTAAGTAACCACTAATTGGAATTCAAGCAGGCTAAATATTGCAGGTAGGCTGAAAGCCGGGAGGGGCGATGAGCTCACCAATGCGGCGCCTCTGCTTGCGGGCGGGCTGGTTGAACCATGTCTTGACATAGTTCTGCCAGTGCTTCTTGAAGTGCCCGTTGGGGATGACGTTGTTGTGCTTCACCATTTTGTCCTCTCCCTCTCCTTCTTACCTGCACATCAACAACGCAACAGCAACAGCGACGGCATCAGCAGAGACAAACAACAAACACACGGGAACAAGAATCAACGAGGCGCCGACAGCTCCATCCCAGGCCCTCCTTAGCAGCGCTGCGCAGAAGAGTCTCGAGCAAGTCGCAACATCAACGCACGCATGGCCACTAGACGCGCACAAACGCATCGACAGCATCTCACAGCCTACGGTTAGTGCTACGCAACCGATCGAGAACCCGGAGCCATCGCGCAGCAAGATCCGCGCGAGCATCACACAGCCTGCGGCTAAGCAGTCGATGAAAAACACGGATCAGACGAGCAACTAATCCACCGGCGGCACGGAACGGGGGCCCAGGCGGTAGGAAGCCGGCGAGCAATGGCCAAAGGCCTACCTGTAGAGGAGACGCGGCGGCGGCGCGAGGAGCTGAGACGGAGGGGGTGTGAAGTGGAGGCGGGGTTTTGGACTAGGGTTGGGTACTTATAGGGGTCGGGGGACGCCGCGAGCCCTAGCTTGGACGGCCGAGATCTCACCATTCCTGTCACGGAAATGATGGGCCGTTCAGTAGGTCTCAACGGGCCTTCTTGGAAGGACAAGTACAAATATTGAGTGAGGTGGGCTTTTCGTCCCCGTTGCAGGCTGCCCCGACCTCCTGGATCCGCGTGGTAGGGTTTGGGCCGTAGAGAAGGAGCGTGCACGTTTAGGGGGGAAATTGTCATATTTTTCTGATTAAAAAATAAATACCTATGATTTTTTTAAAAAATAGCTTTTATTGTTTTCAGAAAATATAAAACCATCTTAAAATCAACTAGATGCCAAATTTGTTGGAACATCGTGGCCAAAAACAAATTCGGATAATACTTGGATGGTCAGAGATAGACTGCATGCAGCTGGTTTACTGATTGTTTCACAATGACTGGCTATCGAGTTGAATGTATTCTTTGTTGCTGTGGATTAGGATTATTATGCGCGCGCCCTAGTGCTGGTGTCCCAGTTCACCATTGGGCCTGCATTGCTTACCTTCCTATTCCCGTATTAAAATTCAATGTACAAATTGTTCGTTGGTGCATACTTTTCATGGTGATGACCCATTCATCGCGTGACAGGGCTTTGCATGGTACTCCGTAGCTGATTTTGCATAGTTCGCCTGCACTCCGTTGACTGAAGTACAGTGGACGGTTTGCCTCTCTATGGATGAGATTGTTTTCCAGGTGAGGAGTAACTGTCGGTCCATATAACAAACCTAAAAATGTTCGGAGTTTTGAGGAATTGCCTACGCTCTAAAGTCTAGAAAGGAAATGACTGCAAAGTTTCTCAAAATCTACATCCAAAAGCTTGTCAGGAACTTACCTTTACACCACAAACAATCGATGCATTTCATGAGAACATGGTTTTGCCGTGAAACAAATCAGAATAGCTCAAAGCATGCCAGGTCAACTATGAACCTTTTGAAGATATTCTTTGAGAACGCGTTACCAATATTCTAGGTACCTTTTGGTTCCAGTGAATCCGGATAAAAAAAAATCTCAGAATCCTACAATCTCATCCAAACAGACTAGATTCCAGTAGATTTTAACGTACAGACACAGAATCCAATAAAACACATCAGATTTGTTAGGGATGTTCGCTTCGCTGAAAAAACAAGCCGAAACACTGTTCTGGCTGATTTGTTGTGAGAGAAAAACACCGTTCCGGCTGAAAAAACAAGCTGAAAAGTACGGATTATAAGAGAAGCGAACAAGCCAAACAGGACCCTACTCAAACAGGGTTAACAATAGTTAAACCAAAGGTACCCGATGGCTATGACTTACAGCAATCAAAATCCACATGAAAACAACGACTGGAAGGTTCCTAGAAATGCGAGAAGGGAAGAAAGATACGACACAAGGTGCTCAGTGGATCTGTGATACAGCAAATTCAGACATTATGCACATGCTTAACCAGCTACAAGCTACAGCTACTGGTCTCTTGAGATTAATGAGCAAATGTATGGTCTCAGTTCTTGAAGATGCATTTGCTAGTAAGGTTAGTGGAACAATTTTATCCTGCAAGTTACATCAACATCACTGGTATAAAGAAACAAGAGAATGAATCCTTAAGAAGGTATTCCTAAAATGTTTCAAGGCACCAAAAGTATGCAAATAAACTTTGTGGGCATGGAAAGTACTCCATGTCAGAAAACAACCACTGACACATGAATTTACACTTCTCGTAGTGTGAGATGAGATCCCAATTTTGATCTTTTCCAGACATTCCACATGCACGAAAGGAAGATTCAGCCTTTGGGGAACACTGAAAGAAAGCGGGGGAAAGATTCCACATGTACAAAGCTTGAGTAAAAACAAGGTGTGCCTTCAATAATGCTTGATTTGGCGCCATCACTGACCAGTGCTACCGGCTCCTGCACTAAGAGATGTCTTCATTTTGTGTTTCTGGATAAAGATTTGTTTCACTAGAGTTGAGGGACCAGGATAAGGTCTTATATACCGTCTGGCAGGTCAATTTTATTGGAGCCGCCCAACCTGAGGCTCATGCCCCTCTTTGCCTTGCTTCAGCAAAAGCAAAGCCACAAGAAACCACAAGAAAGTTTTTTTTAAAAAAGGAGCAAAACACTATAAAAATAGCCATTTTGGCTTTCTTTTCTGAATGTGAGATCAATGCCTAATCCGCAAGGTTCTTTAAGAAAAGGCCTAAACTTTGTTGTAGCTCTAATAATTAAGGATATTGTTCTCCTTGTTCAAACTGAATTGATACTCACTACTATTTTTATATATTATTCTAGAGCAGTGTTATCAGAAAGTGAAAGTATCGTTTTTTGAGAAAATAAATATCAGAAAGTAGTAGTAATATTTATTTGTATTTGCAAAAAAAATGTACTGGGTATAAGAACACTAGTGGGTGATTAGGTGTCCCTAAGGAATATAAACATAAAAGCAGGAAATGAAAGAGTCTGGTAGCAATTAAACCTGAACCCCTTCACTGCCCTCCATGTCAAAAGTGTTTTTTTATTTTTGGCGAAGAAAGTTGCTTCTAGTAAGACCTGAACCACATAGCTGCCCCCAGCGATATATCGCTGTCTTGATGCATTGCAACAATGTGGCATCTATCGGGCACCGCTATTTTCAAGATTCAGGGCAGCTAAGGAATATAAACACCAGTAAGGAAGATTCAGTTAACAATGTCCTTAAGGAATATAAAAAAGGAAACAGAACAGTTTGGTTGCATGCCTGTGCCCCACAATGATAAGTTAAACCTAAATCCCTTTATTGGCATCCATCTCAAAAGGATATTCTCGCAAAGGAGAGGGTTGCTCCTAATAACCTGAACCACATAGCCCCCCTTCTGGCGATGATGACATTGTTTATGAGTTGATGACTTGGTGCATTGCAACAATGGGCCATCCCTTGGTACCACTACTTTAAAGATTCAGGGTTGTGACAAACATCCATCACACCATTAAGTGGAGTTTGTGGTCTAGGAAGTTGGAATAGACCCCCGCTGTGACTCTAAAGAATAACTACCACAAAAGGTACAAGATGTAGAACATATCTAAACAACATGTAAATATGACCTTATATAGATCATGTGGTCTTACAATTCAGGGAGAAAATATGTAACAAGGGCTTTGAAAAAGAGAAACACTACACAGGAAACTTATCAGCAGTCCGCGCTGACCTCAGAGTTTTCGTCAACGGCAGCTATTACCAATTGAGGTTCAGTGGCTCCCTCCGCTCTTGCCTTCTTCCGTTCACGCCGCATGCGGAAGTACTCTCTCTTCCTTGCTCTGTAACTGTTTGGGTTTTCAGGCTCTTTCTCATATGGGTAAACACTTACCTATAAAAGAAAAGGTAGTCAGATGAGCATGTATCTGGTATGTCACCAGATCTCCCTCAGATGCAGGTAAAAGCAGATTTCAGTAAGTAATAACTAGTAAGATACAGATACAGCTACCTTTTTCTTGTCCGGACCATATTTCTCAAACTTGACTAGTCCATCAATCAAAGAAAAGAGTGTATGATCCTTGCCCATTCCAACGTTATTTCCAGGATAAACCTGAAATGTCCAAAAGATTTTAAAAAAAAAAAAACTTAAAGATGGCAAGGAACAGACAGACCATAAAATGGGACCAAAATGAACTCCATACAAAGGACGCAATGGTATAAACCATATAGTAACCATATAATATATAAATATCTTGAATATTTGAAGCGTGCCGGTAAGTAAGACTCTAAAAGACGGACCTACCAAACCATAAGACATGTTAGCCTTGTTAGTTCATGAATTTTCTTTTACAAGGGACACACATTTGACCATCTTACAGTATGCCTAGTATTGAGCAGCTATGTCTGACCATGTGTGCAGTGTTAGTTCATCACCAGCTTGCTATAATGCATTGACATTAGTGGGTTACATTGCTAGCAATTCTGAAACACCTGGGAAGTGTGGTTAAACACATTCCCCTGCCGTTATCTGAGAAATGCAAGAAACTACAATCTTTCCTGCGTTTGCAGAGTGTTACATTAGAGTTGGGAAATGCAATAATGCACAATGGCAGAATCCAACGTGTGAAGCGGTGCCCCACTGACAAGCATTCTATGATTCTAGCTAGGTACATCGTAATAAGATTCTAACATTCTCAATCCGTCATCCTTATGAAGGCATCCGTTGGGGTTAATTCAAGTTTTTTAATTTTTTCTAAAAAGAACAGCCTTAGAGTCCATCTAATAAGCCTAACCTGCAGCAGCAGCAGTTGAGCAGCAATCAAACGCTAGGCGCAGAGAGGGAGCTATGTCACCCAGCAGAGCCAGTCAACAAGCTAGTATCGACGCAAGCAATCCAAGTAGTAAAGCAAACCAGTAACGGGGAAGGGAAGCGAATGGAGCAAGAGGAGGGCAGGACCCTGGTGCCGCGCTGTCGGATGATGATGGCCCCGGGCTTGGCGACCTGGTCGCCATATATCTTGACCCCGAGGCGCTGGCCCTTGGAGTCGCGGCCGTTCTTGGTGCTCCCGGCCCCCTTTTTGTGCGCCATCTGGATGGTGAGCCGCCGCGCCGGCACCGGCACGCCCACGGCGCCGCCGCCGACGGAGAGCGAGGCGCGGTCGCCGCGCAGGAAGGAGGTGGTGGTGGGCGCCAGGGAGAGGCCCTTGAAGGCCCCCGCCAGGGAGAACGCGACGGAGGCCACGCGCGGAGGAAGCTGGACCGCTGGAGGGAGGCAACGGCAGTTTGGGAAGGAGGGGGAAGAAGAGAGCAGATGAGGCGGTGAGGTGTGGTGATACGAAGGAGTGGAAGGGGAGGCGGCAGACGTGGGCTCCTAGTTGGGCCAGTGTTTTGGGTTCTGGAATTTTGGGCCTTACTTATAGATGGGCCTTGTGATGCTTGCAGTGACGGATGAATTGAAAGAAGGAAAATGCTGCTGCTTCCAGCCCATTTGCGTCCTTTAACCTTGTAGTAGTTTTAGCCTTTTAGGTAAGGCAACACAGGAAAAATGGTGGTGCTATCAAGAAGGATTCATTTGAGTTCAAAAAAAAATCAAGAAGGATTCATTTTCTGCTAAAAAAAATCAAGAAGGATTCATTTTTCAGGGAAAATGTCTTTGGAGTTATAGAGAGAGACAGACAGAGATGAAGGGCTACAGCGTCGGCATGTGGGAGATGGCCAGGGAAGCTAGCTAGAGTGACAGGCAGGCTAGACACTGCGGGAGCAAGAGCAAGAGCATGATGATAGGCTTGACTGGCAAAGGCAAAGCTGGAGATGGAGGAGGAGAGGACCGATTCCTTGCATGGACACACGGCATGATTGGGATCCTTGACCAAAGCGCGGCATTTGGGGTCCAAGTTAATCATGGCCCAAACCACACAACACAGACCCCACCACTACCCACTAATCTCCCCTGCCTGCTGTGCTGCCCGGGGCTTCTTCCCCTAATACTGTTTGCTTCTCGATCGATCGATTGGCAGTCACTGGGCATTCGGATCTGATCTCATGACATCTTGTTTTCAGACGCTCAGCTCACTCACTGCAGTTATCTCTTCCGTGTGCTCGATCGTTTGATTTCCCCATGGATATGCATATTTTGAACGAGGAAGGACGCCGGAAATTTCAGAAGGCAGCGCACCGCGCCATCAGTGATCGCCATCGTGGAGATCCCTCGCGGAGCCGCGCAGTACACACCGCGGCGGCGTCGCGTCAGTCGAATCCGCCAATCGCGTCCGCCCACCTGTTGCGTCGGCGGTCGTGCCGGGCGGTCACCCGTCGTATCAGCTTTGCGGGTACACCCGACCGACGCCGCCTGTTATTGACGACGGCGCCTTGCTGCCGGCGGTGGGTCGCACGCCCACAGCTCCTTCTACTACTAGCAGTCACCGCATGCACCATCAGCACGGGAGACATTGACCGGAGGGACGAGGGCGATGCGACGCCGGCGATCATTGCCTCGTCTGACGATTCGCCGGCGACACCCGACCCAACCGACACAGTCCGGCAGGCCTCAGCCGTCAGTTCCTTGCTGGGCCGCGCGGTCGCCACCGACGCGTCTCGCTACGCTCGGTAACTCTTCCGCGGCTGAGGGAGCACTTTTTTTTTACTGTTGTTTGTAAGAAATTTTGCATGTTGAGCTTCAGCAAGACAAGAGTTAAAGGACTGTTGGTGCCAAAAAAAAAGATACCGCCAGTACGTAATCGATCGATCTTGCACTACACGGTGAATAATTTGGAGCAGTGACCGTCAAGATTCAAAAGGCAATCAGAGGACGTGGTAGGAAAAGGGGAATGCTGCCGCCCGGGTCTAAACGAGAATGATGGGGAATCAGCTAAACCGAAGCCATGACTGTAAAAAAAAAGCTAAGGTTTTGATGCCTTTATTTGGTCTCACAGCGACATTAGTCACCGGGCATGATGGTCGATTTGATTTTTCCTCCCCGCTCTCCCATCTTAACCACTCAGGTTTGATACTTCTTCTGGAACTGCCGTTTCAGCCTCCGGGGTTTTTGTGTGTCGTCATGGTGCGTCAGTTACCGTCTAGTAATACACGTCGCCTCGTTCGGTTGTACGCGAAAACACTGTTGCTTCATCCAATCCAAATTATATAGTTTACTTTATTCTAAAACTTTGTCTTAAGTTAAAGTTTGAAGTTTTGATCATGATTTTTTTTAAAAAAAACATCTACCAACTTCTATTTTAAATAAATGCGATTATTTTTCACCACCATAAGCTGAACTTGGCCTTTGAGTGTATAAGCTCACGAGATCCCTAGCTTAGCTACATCGCGTGTTTTGGCGTCCCCAGGTGCCACGAAATTGCTAGCGGACATGGTGACGGAATCGGTCACCACAAGCGAGTAAAGAAAGAGAGAAGAGAAGAGGATGCACATGGCAATGAAGATGGAGCCGCATGTCACAGACTGTTGGTTTCTCAATGGGTGTGCGAGTCTACTGCTTATACCATGGCTAACAAGTTTCTTTTTTATCTTCTCTCTCATCCAGGTCGACTAAAAATAATGAGTCTGTTCGCTGGTTGATTTCTGGGCTGATAAGCTCGGCTGGTGCTGGTTTGTTGTGAGAGGAAAATACTGTTGGTGATGATAAGCCGTGGCCGAAACATTCATGCTTTGACCATGCACACGTGGAGGTAGCTAGGAGTCTGAATTCTGAAACAGTAGCAGTAGTTGGCTGCAGTTGCAGAGGATCCTGCCTGCCTTGGATTGGCCGGATCACGCATCCGGTTTTGTGAAGCCACATGGTACGAACAGGTAGTCTCTACACTACTCCAGGCTCCAACAGCGATTCTATAACACCACCAAATCCAAATGCTGGCTGTGCACAAAATGCGGTTTCGTGTCCATATGACAAAATTACCCAGCACCACCATGTGTTTTTCTTCCTTTATTTATTTTGGGCTTGATTGGAGTGAGAGATTGGTTGGGTTTAGAGAGAGTACGAGTAGTAGGCTAGTAGCGGAGGATATAGTGGAGTACATTTGTTGGCATGGCTATCATGGTGATTCCTCATCATATCTGATCGATACATGGCTACCTAGAACTATAAGGAGAATGGGTTGTAACAACCACTGCAGCTGCGTGCGTGCATGGCTTTGCCTCATGACGACTCTAGCCTTGTGTTTTCGTGGTTGGGTTTCGCCCAACCCTACTTTTTTCTGGCGGACTCAACCCACCGCCGGTTAGGAAGCTAGAGAAACCAAAAGACTACGCAGGCATAGTGTAGAAGAGCTTCGATATATGTTTGGTGGAACACGTGAATCTAAAGAAAAGGGGAACGGAGGGGGTACCGGGGTGTTCGAATCCGGCTACAAGTCTAGTAGATGTCACATCGGATATTTAGGTACTAATTAGAAAGACTAAACATGAGTCAAGTCTCGTAAATTAGTTTCAATCTGTGCAATTAGTTTTATAATTAGTCTATTTTTAATACTCCATGCATGTGTGCAAACATTCGATGTGACAGAGACTAAATTTTAGTAGGTGGAACCAAACACAAGGACACATTGCTTCTAGCTGGATGTTTTTTTTCCCTTTTTTTTGGAATGGATGTTTTTCCCTAAGATTTTAGTCGCGAATCAAAAGTGTTCGATCACAGACAATCAGACAGGGAGTGGTCATCATCTACCTCTCATGTTTTCTTCTTTCTTGACTCAAGACACAATGAATTCTTTGTCCTATATAGCATGCCGACGATCCTTGCTCCTCTATGTCTTGCCTTATTGCACCCGTCACGCTGCCGTCGCCCACCACTCCCATGTTCACCTATGTCACCGCCACTCTTGTCATAAGTCTCTTTCATCTGGATGTCTTTTGTCACCTATAGCCAGTGGCGTTTCTGGGTGACTTGAAACAATTACGTTGAAACCATATAAAAATAGTCTAAAATAATCCTCAAAATCAAATACATGAAAAATGAACTTACCGATTTTGCTCGGGTGTAAAATCGTCATTTCGTCCTCCACTTAAAACCATCAGTGGACAAATATGACGGAAGAGCCATGTAATGAAGCAAACTTGGATTTCAGGCTAAGTAGGTAACTTCGGATCTAAAAGGCCTAAGGAAATAAGCCGAAGTTTATAGGGCCAAGGAAGGATTTTTCTCTTCTTCTTTCACAAGTCAAAATAGTTAATTAACTCTTCAACCGTCTAGTATGTATAGCATGCCAACAAAACTTGCTCCCCTACCCTGCATTCCAGTACCCATCACGCCGCCATTAGTCACCCTTCACATGTGGATGTTCTCCACCAGTCATGTCCAATGACATTCCTACCTACCCATCATGCAATTTTGGTGCTTGCTCCTCCACTGTTAGGTTGCTCTGTAGCCCGTTGTGGATTTCCATTAGAAAGCTAATCCCGTATGCTGGCGGCCAAAACATCAATGTTTTCCAGTCAAATGATCAGTGCTCTTGGTTTGGTGGTCAGAGCTTCAAGCAGTAGATGAAGTGTTTTTTTCAGCCTAGCAGTAGATGAAGTTATTTCTCTTCCTCTATGTTGGATTTGGCTTTTGCCAACATTACGGAAAAAAAACCCGTAAGAGGAAGATTACTTAAGCTGCAATTTGAAGATTTTGATTTATTCCTTTTCTTCAGATTGTTATTTTTATTTGGTATATCAGAGTTTCTAATGTCTTGGCTACGTGTTTCATTGTCGGGAGATGTGCTCACTTTATAATAATTATGATATGATATGCCTTTATTAGAAGCTGTCTGAAACCAAAAACCCTCCATTATATATAAAAAAAAATTAGGCGTCGTGAGATAAAAAGGTACTCCCTCCGTCCCATTAAAAGTGTCATTTTTTACTTTTAGATTTCTTTTTTTACCGTTCGTTTTATTTATTTTTTTATAAATATTATTTATTTTGTTATGACTTATTTTATCATTAGAGATACTTTAGTAATGATTTATTTATTTTATTATTTACATAAATTTTTTTGAATAAGACGAACGGTCAAATAAGAAGTCTAAAAGTCAAAAACGACCCTTTCAATGGGACGGAGGCAGTACCAACCAACTTTTTTTCAAAGGAAGG